CCTTCTTCGAGGCCTCGGCAAAGAAGGCCTCGGCACGATCAGCTCCAGCACCCACTAGGCCTCGGCACTCCACCAGGACAAGAGTCCACCAGGCACGGCATGTCACCTACAGTGGAGGCCATACTGACTAGACGTCAACAAGGACTCTTACGACTTCAACAGCCTCGGGCATGGCCTGCGTGACGCACCGGTGATCAAGTACCAATTGTCATTCCCGACACTGTATTACTACAGGAATAGGCCACAGTACTGGATCTTCCTTTCTCGCTAAGGCTCCACATGTAGCTCTCTCATGTACTCCTGGCTCCCTCCTTGTGGCTATAAAAGGAAGCAGCCAGGGCCGTTTCTAGGGATCAAAAAACCACGCCAGCCCTCACGCAAAAACGCACTCACTCAATTCACGTGCGCTCCCACGCTGCCTGAGAGCAACGACTCAAGCAGCCCGCACCATTCTACGCCGAGACCTGGGACTAGCTCCCTCTCTCACCCAGCTTGTAACCCCCTACTACAAGCACTTCGGTGCAGAGAATACAAGATCGATCTCCTAGACTGGACGTAGGGCGCCGATTGCCTGAACCAGTATAAACCTTGTGTTTCTTTGCATCACCATCCGGGATTAGGGGCACGCAGTTCACATTTACTGGTTGGTTGAGGACCCCCGGTCCGAAACGCCGACAGCATGCTCAGTTTTTTACTTTTTTACTGGTGCCCAGTGGCCAGTGACATCGTGTTAACACCAAAAATGAGGAGTGAGCGCCCATAAAATTGATGGTAGACGATGCCGTCAAAGATTTACACCAACTTCAATATTTTTTGGACATTCAGGTTAAGCAGGAGAAAGATGGGATTCTTTTGTCACAAAGATGTTATGCAATTGATCTGCTCAAGAAAGCAACACATGGAAAAGTGAAAAGCAATTTCTGCTCCCATGACGATTCAACTGAAAATTATTCAGAAACCGGGGAACAGCTCTGTTAGAACAATTCAAGCAAAGAAGCACTATTGTTGGTGGCTTAGAGCCTTAGATCAATGCAAAGGGAAAGAAAAAAATAATTAGTGAGAAGAGAGGAGAATGAACTTATGCACGTCTGTGTAAGCTGTTTTTGCATGTATGTGTATGCGCTCGTGGGCTGGCCGCGCCGCCGGGTATCTCGCCCCTGAGCCGGTCGCGTCGCCGGGGAGCTTTGCCCCTAGGCTGGTCACGCCGCCGGGGAGCTCTGCCGCGCTCACCGTGACCAGGAGATGGATTTGGGGAGAGCAGGACTGTAGGAGGAAGGAGACGACAGATGAGGCCCACTTGTAAGTGAGACGAAGAGGAAGAAATATGGCGTACTTCAAACTCTGGGAGAATTGTAATGGCACCATCACTATAAGATGAGAAGCAGTGATGTTTCTTAAAAACATCAAATTTAGGCTCTATTTAGATTCTTTGGCTAAAGTTTAGCCAGGACTAAAGATTAGCCCTTAAAATGAAGGGGCTAAAGTTTGACTAAAATGTGAAAGAGAGAGGAGAGAGATAGAGTACGCCGTGTTCGCTTAAACTTATTAGCCATGGAACAATGTTTTTCTCTCACAACAAATCAGCTTCAGCCGACTTATCATCCGCAAAAATCATTAGCCAAACAAGGTCTTAAAGTCACTTATTAGCACTTTTAGCCACATTTAGTCTATCTTGCGAGGGCTAATGGGCTAATGAAAGGCTAAATATTAGCCCCTCCTTTTAGCCCTCCTCTTTGGATCCTCAAGGGCTAAAAAGTGGTTAAAAAAAGGAAGGCTAATCTTTAACCCCTTGGATCCAAATAGGATCTTATAATGACACGGTTCTAATTAACCCTAAAAATAAAGGCACCTAAGATGTTTAGGATGTACTCAATCCATCCCAAATTGTAAGACGTTTGACTTTTTTGACACCAAGTTTGACCACTCGTCTTATTCAAAAATTTGTGTAAAATATCACTTCTTTAAATGCGTTGTTTGGTTTATTAATAAAAATTCTTCAAGAATGACTTAAATTTGACTATATTTGCACAAATTTTTTTGAATAAAACGAGTGGTCAAACTTGAGACAAAAAAATCAAACGTCTTACGATCCAGGATGGAGGAAGTCCTATGTTAGGGTTTCATATGGCTGTGGCCACTGAACTAGGGGCGTGTTTGGTATAGGGCCAGAGGGTGGCCTGCGCCCGTGGGCTGCAACAGCTTGTGTTTGATTTACTTGGCCCGTCACCGAGCCCGGCTCGCCAGATGAAAAAAAAACGCTCTCTCCTGGCTCCCAGGAAACGCACTGAACGTCCGTTTCTCTGCGGCCAGGCCGACTTCAGCGCTCGCGCGATGCCTCGAGTCACCTCCCGGCTCGGTGTTTCTCACCCACCGCCCCGATGACCGCTCCCTTCCTCCGTTGGTGTCGCCGCGCCTCCGACCTCCTCCTCTACAGCCCGTCTGACTTCTGCTCCGCCTGCATCCACCTCCTCTCCTCCCCCGCCACGCCCGGGCCCACCGCGCTCTGCTCCGCTTGCGGCGTCTCCGTCTCGCACCTCTCCTGCGTCCCGGCGGACCGAGACCACCCCGCCGCCCTGCTCCTCGCCCTCCACAGCCGAGCCTCAGCCTAGCAGGAGCATCACCTCGCGAGCTCGTCGCTGCCCGGGACGGACTCGAGGTCGAGCCCAAGCTCAGGGCGCCGCCGCAGCCTCCTCCCGAACCTGCGCCCCCGCAAGCGGCCGCCGCCGCCGCGACAACCACCTGTGCTGGCCACCGACGCTGGAGCGCCTCGTCCAGGACCACCCCTCCTCCTTTCTCTCCCGCACCGCGCTGCTGTCGCTCGTGTGCGCGTCCGCCGCCTCGGGCCCCGGCGCAGCGGCGGCGTACGCCGACCCCGTCGTGCTCAGCCTCGACTCCGAGGCCGTGCGGAGGCTCTCGACGCGCCCCGCCGAGCTGGTGGTGTCCGTGCACGCGTCGCCATCGACGTGGCGCGCGCCGCAGCCGGGGAGATTGTCGTCGCCCGAGACGGCTGGATCACCGCGGAGCGCCCCGTGTACGGCGTCCGCGCGCGATGGCCTCGAGCTAGGCGGCAGCCATGGCCTTGGTGGAGCCAAGCTTCTTCCACGTCCCGCTCTGGATGCTTGCCATGGACATACAGTCTGTTCGGGAGGCCGTATCGTATCGTGGATCATTTACGGTCGGCTAGTTTGGTGTAAGAGAAAAATACTATTCTCGACTAGAAATTTACAATTGTTTACGAGCCAGCGAACAGGCTAATACTCGTGTTCCTCGCCGCCGCCTACCAACCGTTCATGGAATGCCAACAAGGGTGAGAAGAGAGGTAACGCCACCTATTCCAGATACGAGGGCGACCATATCCATCCATGCCTCTGCCTCGTACAAAACACAATCTCTATTGGGCCAGGTCTATTTGATATAGGCAACCAAACACGACGTCTTGCACCAGTTCAGACAGGCTGTGGCTGGCCTAAAGCTAGCCATGGCCTGAGCCTGGCTGGCTTCAGGCCACGTACCAAACATGCCCTATGTTATTGTCATGCCAGAGTTTTTTTTAAAAGGATCTACTATATAAAAAATATGAAAACACCAAATCTTTTTTTCATTTTTTCCACAACGGTTGCCCGTCCGAATTTCATTACTTGCGGATTATACAATTCAACAGGTAGCATTCAACAAAAACCAACCAAATCGAAGCAAATAAAAATATTGTTCAACAAAAACCAAATGATGACTCCTGCCCACCCGAATTATCACTAAAGACAGTGTTCCACACGAAACGTCATAATAGGATACATGGATGCAACTCAAGTGAGCTCAACTCTAGGCACACCGCACAAGTTCACTAGTACATAAATAAAAGACTATGTCTGCAGACTACAAGCAATAAATTCCAGATTCACATAATTTTCATAATCACCTCATGCTTCGACTGTGCCTGTATCAAAGCGAATATCTCATGTTTTGAACAGGAAAAAAATCTCTAAAGCAAGAACTATTTTCATGTCTCACGTTAGTCATAATAACTAGCAAAAAAAAGATAGACAAACATAAAAGCAGGAATCAATTATCCAGGTTCATTTTGGTCAAATATATTGCCATATACGGAGTATGAGTTAAAAACAGAGGAACTTAATTTCTGTCATAAATGCAAATTCAATAACATGTCCCATAAGGTGCTGCTTCTGGTCAGGAACAGGCTCAACACAGTTCCTTGGCTGCATATCCTCTGCCACTAAAATGTTGAGCCAAGCTTACAAACATAATACAAATTAAGCAAAACCCAATTCACAAACTTAATATTCCACTAAAATGTTCCCACGGTTGATTGCTTCCAGCGTGTTCAGCTGGCTGGTTGGCTACAATTTCCAGCCGGAGCAGTGTTTTTCTCGTATTTTCCAGCATAAACAGTGAAAATTTAAGCCCAGCCAAACACTGCCTTCGACTTCGGTTTTGGCGGCGGCGTTGCTACCTCATCAGCTGGAGCTTGGCAGTGGGATGGTACGGCGGAGCAGGGAGATTAGCGGCGCAGTCGACGCCGTGGAGGACGGTTCCGCGGCCATGGCTTCCATTTGTTCGACGATTTGCCTCGCTTTCGGTTCTTTGGGTTAGTCTTGTAGCTGTTTGGGTTGTTTCGGATCGGGACATCGGGTCCTCGGGGACCGACTTCCCTTTGTTTTGGAGATCGGAGATCTGAAAGCGAGTTAGGGCCCACCTGCCAGTGGCGCTCGTGCGAAATATAGCCGTTGGAGTAACCGAGAAACTTTTGGCAAACTGCAGTATTTTCTGCACATGACGTACTCCTGCAAGAATTATCTAAGCCAAACAGGAATAGTACACCAACGTAAAAGTAAGGCAAATCAATTAATTTCGTCACATTATTTGCAAGACCATCGTTTGTTAACAACAGTCTGGTGATGCATTCACCAGACCGGTGCAATAGCTGGGACAAGAGTGATTCAGCACAACAATGTAATTATGTAATAGCTTGACCATCTCTGTGTTTATGCTTGTAGTTTAGCATGCCTCTGGCAGAAGGACTTGATCCGTTCAAGGGCATTCTCAAGAGTAGGTACATCCGTAGCGAAATTGATACGAATCCAGTCCTTCATTCCTAGTGCACTTCCTGCAAATTTACTCATGTACCTCAGCGCGGGACTTTAGGCAGACGATACCAGAACAGTTGTATTAACTAGAACAGAAACATGAAGCAACTAAAATTAGCACACGTATGGAAGTCCAAATTCCAATATACCTGGTAACACTATTACAGAGTCCTCTTTTGCCAACCTGCAGCAGAAGTCCAAATCGTCCTGGATGCCATCCAACCAAGAGAGATCCAATTTTACCTGTAAAACAAGGATCATAAGCTATTATGATTGATACAAGGAGCATTAAGCATTTCTGTTACTGAATGTCTGAATCTGTTTACCATAACAAACATTGATCCCTCTGGCTTGTGAGGGCATGTGATGGCCCTAGTCTCCTTTATTTTATTATAACATAAATCTGCAGAGTTCCTCAAAAGATTAAGTATTTTGTTGAAGTAATCTTCCTTTGTGTTGGCTATTATTTGAGGGACTGCGCCCTGTAAGACATAATTAGCCATAAGTTTGACATCAGCTGAAACACAAGCTCTTCTAAAAATATTGTTCAACAAAAATGAAGAGAAATATACCTGGATAAATGTTGCAGGATCATTTGTGATATTGATATAGTTTTCAATCAATTTGTCAACCTGTAACACAATGTAATGGTACAAAATGAATAACCAGCCAACTAAAATATAGGAGCCTAAAAAAATACAGTCTTCATTAAAAAGATTTAGTACGAACGAAATGGCTAATAAAATATCCAGTATATTTCAGTATTATTGAAATTCATATTTTTCACAGCTACATAATTGACCATAGCCAATTCTCTAGGTTCCCATAGTTGAATTAACATTTAATGAATAGGAAAAATAACATACAAATATAAAGAACATGTGATTATTTGGTCCAGAAACGCAGACTTCTAGGTGGCAACATTAACATCATAGTTCTGTATGGTTTCACAGCTTTGATAGTTGTCATGATTCTATCCAGAACAGTGTTTCATATTTTGAGACCAATTGAACAGTATCAAGAATTTCTTCACCAATTCAATACGTCAGACTAATATTTACATTTTCTAATTTCCATTACTCATATGACACTTTTGATAAAGGATATTTCAGAAAGCTTATTTCTGCCTTCCAAAAGTTTCATTCCACCAGTGAACCTCGCAGAGTTTCTTGTTTGCTTCATCCCTTTAAATTTATCGCGTCACCTAGTGGATCAAATTATATTGGCTGATCAAGTAACTAAGGACACAAACATCACTTTGGTTTTATCATATATTTTAGTGGCTTGTCAATAAAAAGGAAACCATTTGAATATCGAAGTTCCAGAATATGTGGAGACTGGACATCTTATTACATCACTATGACACTATCGATAAATTCCCAGGATTCAAAAAGGTCACCAACAGCAGTACTGCACTGCTTCAGCAAATCCCTGTCATGAACTCATGATACAGTAGTGCTTCGTAGTTTTATCTAAAAAACTGAACCATCGGGAGAGACATCCCCTTGGCTTCTTAGTTTTATCAACACCTGTGAAAACACCTTACACCCAACTATTCTTTATTTGGAAAACTTTATCAACGTAACCAGAAAGAGACACTGAATCTGTCAAGTATATGCTAGTAGAAATTGAATCAGAAAACTTTCAGGACAACTGGCTAGATGTTATAAGTTATCAAATTGTTCTTTCTATAAAGGATGGGCTCGCATGTTATTTTAGAATGGATCTACCATTTACCCGTGCTCAAAAGTGCAACTCACATCTCGAGCAGGAGTGAAGTACAGGTGGCTGCTTTTTAATTGACAGCCCAAAGGAATTCACAAGAACACAGATCAAATGTTTACCTGAGCTTCCTTTAACACACAATTCGGGTCGCACGTGGCTATCCAACCAAGTCGCCAACCAGGCACAAGCCATCTTTTAGATATAGATCCCAAGGTGATCACTGGAACTATATCCGCAAAGACACCCATTGGTATAAAAGGCTTATTGCCAAAAACCAAATGGTCATATACCTCGTCAGCTATGATTATTATTCCAAGTTTCCTTGCAGTCTCCGCAATCTGTTCATTTTCATCATTGGAAATTTGAGTAATATAACAAACAGGGAACAGATCCTAGGAAATATTTGTCTCAGAAATATATAAACTTACTTTGGCCAAATGATCATATGAGTATACACTCCCACAAGGGTTACTAGGATTTATAATGACCATCGCAACAGTATTCTCATCAGCAAGAGCTTCCAGAGACTCAAGGTCAGCCTCCCAGCCACGATCAGGAATAAGGTTAAAATGTCGGGCCTCAAGATTACTGAACATGGTCCGTGACTCGTACAATGGAAACCCAGGTTTGGGAAGCAAGACATTGGAGCCAGGCTGAGCAAGGACAGAGATGATGACCTCAATAGCTTGGCAGCATCCAGCAGTGAGGTAAATATTGTCTGGTGAAAGCTGATAGGAAAGATCCCGAGATAGGTACTCTGCAATAGCACTGCCAATTCAAGAAAGGAACATGAGATATGGTCAGGAATGCAAGTTGAAGAACGGAACCTTTAAGGGAAGTAAAAGGCCATGACAAATTGTAGAACAGAGGTACGAGGAACTGAATGTTACAGGCAGCAAAGCTTAAAAGATGCAGATTAATACACAAAAGACTAATTTTTTTTACATATCATGGAAAAAAAATCTGGCTTCATGATAAACAGAGGAATCAGGCCACACTTAATATAAAAAAGTTGCACACTCAAGTGTTCATACAATAGATTTCAAATGCAGCAGTATATATATTCCAATGCTATGTGGATAGCAATTGCAAGAAAGCATTTCATGAGAAACTCTGCATCTTTCCCTGGGGAAAAATATTGCTTAGAGAAGCTGCTGCCTGTGGCAATTTCGCTTTCCAAGTGGTGATAGATATGTAGTCACATATTGGTGTAACACCTTTGTTTCCATTATGTCTTGAATCTGTTAAATATGTAAAACCTCCTATCATGGTTGAACAGCAAGTGCTTTGCTGTTCCAGAGCATATCAGTAGTACTCCCCTTGCTGTTCCAGAGCATATCAGTAGTACTCTTTCCCCTCCGCTTTCATTAAAAACAAAGATTGCTTAGTTCAATATAGAAGGGCACTTAATTTACGGGGGTAGTTTCCCTTGTGTGTGTGGTGGGAGGAGGGTTCGGTGTTTAAGCCGTGTTCCTGTACATATACTCTCTTTTCCGTTTATAGAAAGGCACCATTGCGTTCAAAAAAAATCTGCATCTTTCCTCAAAAACAATAACCTCAAGAGAACCCGGGAACTCTGAACGCAGCCTTCTGTTTTGGCCATTGCACGAAGGTGTCTGGCTTTGTTCAATCAGAAATCTATACTGCGTAGGCACTCTTACCAGAAGTACCATGATTTGCAACAAAAGTAGACATGTATGTGTACTATGATTTGGAACAAAAGTACAAAAACAGTTTGGCTACGTGGCTGCTTCAAAAGTACAAAAAGCATCTACTGGTATGCAGTTGACTCTGAGTATGGCGTCGTGAAGTACCATGATTTTGAGACACTCGCATCGCATCGCATACTGCACAGATGAGGGGCAGGGGATCTCACCGGCGCGCCGGGAGGACGCCGACTGTCGGTGAGTAACCGTTGTGCTTCCCAGATCTGAGCGCCTCCACTATGGCGTCCTCGGCCTCGGGCGGAGGCCTGAAGCAGGGCGAGGCTGTGGGGTCACCGCTGCCGAGCGTCAGCACTGGCCGCGGGCCCGAGCCGTCTACCGAGGAGAAGACACGGTCGAGCACTGCGCGGATACTCATGGTCCCCGCGACCTTCAGCGGCGTTCCCGCTGACGGTCTGGAGATACTCCACTTCGTCGTGCCAGCGCCGCCGTTCTCCTCCATTGCCTCTGCTTCAATCTCCGTCTGAAGTCTGAACCGCCTTCTAGATTTTTTCTTTTAAACGCCTTCTAGTTTCTCGGGGTTGCGTGGATTTCTTCTTCAAAATATCGCTCATCGCTATCGCTGGTTCTCCAACAAATGGAAGAGACTTGTATGTACGCCAAGATTCCTGTTTATTTTTTAAGAGAAGATACTTAAACTTTGTTTGATAAAATATCATCTCGAGAATAAACGACACGGGAATTTGGCGGGATCAGCCAAGAGCCCGTGACTGTCTGAACGCTCCTGTATTAAGTGCATTATTAACTTGCTAAGCTCGTGAAATTTTTGCATTTTTGTCCCTTTTAAAAACATTTTTTACAAATAGCTTCCTGTCGAAACGTTTTCTGACAATAGACCATTTTTCGGCGTATTAGGACACGACGTCAAGATATGAGGCTCGGCGCTATGTCAGACAACGCCGAACTTTTGCCACGTCAGCGCGGACTCCGATTGCAGTTGCCACGAAGGCGTTGAGCCCCGCGTACCTCGGCGCTGTGTTACTTCACGCCGAGCCGCAGACCTCAGCGTGGCACTGCTCGACGCCGGAGGTCTGGGTAGTCAACGCCGAGAGTCGTGTCAGGTGGCTTCTCTTTATTTGGAGCAGACAAAACCAGTGGGGCCGGTGGCAGCGTGTGGACAGCATTGGTACCTGGGGTTTGATCGTTTGGATAGGGCAGAGGCGTATTGGTCTTGGGTACCCGGGATGGCATGATTGGCTGCATTTTTATCAGCGCGAACAGATGGTGTGAACCCGGCTGCCCTGGAGTAAAAGCAAGCAGCCACTCTCAGCATGGTGAAGGCATTATTGTTTCTGACACTTTCAGCATTGGACAGCTAGGGAAGCAAAATCTGATCTGAGACGACGCTGGTGTAATCTGTGCTCGTGGCTGGTGGCGAAGAGAGGCTGGTGACTGCCTTGTGGGGCCCTCGGAGTCCGGCAAGTTGGACCTCTCGTTGCATCTCCTCGGCTCCCGGACACATGCTCGTAAGGCTCTTACGTGCTCGGCATGCTAAAGCGAACCCTGTGCTGTTGCTGTGTCGTGGTGTCATGACATGTGGGTGGCAGCTTCGGCCTTTCCGCCTTTTCTAATCGGCGGCCAGCAGTGCTCTAGAATCGCCGTAATTTTTCTTGCCGCAACTTTTCTTTGTATATGGATATACTGCCTTCTTATACTCAAATATAAAGCATATAATTCGACTTGACGCGACCTCTAAAATCAAACTTTGACCGTAATTCCTTTTATTATAGTGTAACATTTCTGCCAAAAATTTAATTATCAGGGTATATTTGTAAATACAAATCTAATAACTATTTTTGTATCACAAACTTTTTTGTATTTTAAAATTCAAAGAATTTAAATTTTAAATATAAGAATTTAAAACGACCAGATAAAAGTATTATCAAATACAAAGTTGTAGAACATTTGAGAGCTACAACTTTAGATGTAGACTACATCAACATTAAACATTGTCTGAAAAAATCAAAAAATTAAATTTGAAATTATAGAACTTAAAACGAATACTTAAGGCTCTAACAATCTCAGATTAAAAAAAGTTATCAACTACGAAGTTGTAGTTCTAACTTAAAACTACAACTTGATAGAGATCAACATCTGTGGTCATTTGAAAAATTTAAAAATTAAACTTTAAAATAAGGTAACTGAAAATGAATACTTGATCCTATAAACTTTAATAAATAGGAAAGTTATTACCGTCAAAACTACAAAGTTCTTTACATCCAAACAACGCTACGTTTTCAAAACCAAAGTATTCCATAAAATCATGGTATTTTTCTAAAACAACAAAATATCTAGTCGTATGGCCTGATCAAAAAAGGCAACCATAAGAATATTATGTTTCCGTACGAGGCAGCAAGTTCAGGCATCAATCAATATTGTGTTTCCATAATCATATTGTGCCACTTGCAAGTACTATAAGCTGCAAAGGGCTCTCACAGCCGCAGATTGCAGCAAAGGGCATCCATTTACATTTTACTCTTCCCCCTCCCTTCCTAAACTACGAGATATTTTTCTATCACGTGAAGTGTGTCTTGACAAAAACCATGGCTTCGTGTTCGCCAAACCAAAACGACGCCAAAAGCGTAATGCCGCTGCACAAAACCACACTTTGTGGATGTCCCACGAGACAAAAAGGCTCGCTTTTACTCTAGGGCGGCGGGGTTCACACAGAGAGAGAAGTCTGTTCGGCACTATTCATGACCCATGCCATCCCGGTACCGACCAACACGCCTCTACCGTCGCCTGTCCAAACCTCGAGCTAATGCTGTCCACACGCTGCCCCCAGCCCCACCGGGTTTTGTCTCGCTCCAAATAAAGAGCAAGCCACCGCCAGAACTCAGCGTGGAATGCCCAGACCTCCGGCGTCGAAAGCGATTACACGCCGAGGTCTGCGACTTCAGCGTGAAGTAACACAACACGAGGTACGCTGGCGCCAACGCAACGCCAGGGCAACTGCGACCGAGTCCGCTACCGATGTGGCAAAAGTTCGGCGTTTATCGACACACCGGTAGCCGAGCCTCATACCTTGGCGTCGTGTCCTGATACGTCGAAAAATGGTCTATTGTCAGAAAACGTTTCGACAGGAAGCTATTTGTAAAAAATGTTTTTAAAAGGGACCAAAATGCAAAAATTTCACGCTAAGCTCTAGACTCTGCTGTTTACACTAAAATTTGGAAAGAAAAATACGGAAACTCGAAGCTTTCAAGATTGTGTCAATCAAGAAATTGATTGCGCGAGGATCGATATCAGCTGATTCGGACGCGACACTGGAATCGGCTCTTTTCGAATGACGCCAACAGATAACGACAATGAGTTACGGTTGGCGTCAGGAAATACATATCGGACTCTACAAAAAGGAAAGATTAGGAACCAAGTTATCTTAAGTTAGGAATATTTTCTTATATACCAAAAATTGTAATGAATCATATTTGAGTAGGATTCATACTTAGGCTCCGGGTATAAATATTGGCCCCCGGTTATTGTAAAGGACATCCAATCAATCAAATACAAGTTATTTACTTTTTCAGTTCCGTCTAACCCTTAGAAGTAGGAGTATAGTAGATCTCGACGAGTTCTTCAGCAAGCAGGGCTGCATCGGTTTGGTCGACCTCTGGCTTGTCTGTAAGTACCGTCATGCCTTATACTTCTGTTTGTACGGCTGCATCGATCTGGTCGACCTCCACTGCGAACTCTAGTATAAGCTAGTTATCGACTCTTGTCTAGTTCAAGTATGGCTGCATCGATCTGGTCGACCTCCACAGCTCGAATTAGATTAAGGTCAAATTATCGGCTCTAACTAAGGGTGACGTCTTTCGGATGGATTCATTAAGTTGCCGATCTTGCTGATGCCCTTATTGTTATTAGTTTGCAGCAACATCAACCTGCCCGGTCGAGATTGATTTAGATCGGCCTCATATCCTTTGAGTTCGTCGTTTGCTTTGTTACAACACGATGATTCTTACTTTAAGCGACGGATTATGTTTCATCGGTTGTTTTTACTTCGATCTTGATCGCGCATAGTACGCGGTTAAAGCACGCATGATCTTAAAGAGGTTTGCTGGCTGGTTAAATCTGGTCTACGGTTCACTATTATGGCTGTAACGATTCGGTCGATCGCTACTGATAGCACTTTAGACTGAAGGATGCTAGTTGATAGATTTGTTCTCGATCAGGTGTGACCTTAGCTGTTTGCTATGCCTGCATCGGCTAAATAGCTGATCGCCTATGCTGTAACGCCTACAGTATGTCTCCATGATTCTATTAAACATGAATAAATTTGTTTACTTTAAAGATTTGATTTGTTGTCTTTATCATGGCTGCATCGATCCGGTCGAACCCCACTGTTAGAGATAGCGGGTTAGATCTGATGAGTTCATATGTTTATTTACATGAAATAGTCGATTGTTCACATGTTGTAGTCCATTTTCACCCGAATCGGCTATTTCAGCCGATCCGCTTTGAGCTTTCACACATATAGCATGTCTTTCAGAAAGCCTGTCATGTGTTACGGATTCTAAGGTTTTAGTTTGTTATTATCATCATAGCTGCCATCGATCCGGTCGAACCTCACTGTTGATGGTAACAATTAGAGTCAGAGCGTTTGTAGATCCATTCGCACTAGACAGTCGATTTATTCGTATGCTATATATTTTCTCGTGAGATTCATCGGCTTAATGATTCATACTGATAATATCCACCTAGCTGATGATTTTACTTACATCTGTGGGCATTGTACTTATCAACATAAAATCAATCGCGACCCGCAAGCTTTATAGTTCTAAACAACCGATTTCTTCGCGTATAGCTTTACAGTCCTAAACAATCGATTTCTTCGCATATCGGCTATTTTTCCGTCTGGCTGCTTCCGAAGCGGCACACTTGGAATTGTCTGGGCAAAGACCGGCATGTTCCACCTTAAATTAATGATAAACTTTCTCTCATTGTCAATTACAGGGTCAAATTGACTGACACGTCTCTGGAGGAGTACGCAGGATCGGTTAACCCTGCGTTGAAGCCAAGCGAATCTCCGGACTCATACTAAGCAGATTCTTCCGGCTTGCTGTGTGCCGATACGACACGTTTTCGTGCCGACACCTGCTGAACAGAAATGTACCAACAAAATAATTCCCTAAACCTTAAACATCACAAGCATAGTCACACAAAAAATCCACGTAGTGAACCTAACAGGGTACAGAAGTTACCTACCTGTAACCTTTCTCAAATGCCTGTAGATGTCACTGCTGAAGATGTTGTCTGTTAAAATGAAGTTCTTCTGAGCATCAAGCTCGGCCAATCCCCCGAAGCACTCCCTTCCTCACATCAATAGCAAGAACCACTTCAAACTCGTCCATATGCCTGGGTTTGATTGCAGAAAGCAAGTAAACAATATCGTCATCCATGCTTATGATGGGGCATGACATCTGAAGCTCCTTCAACATTTCTGTGGTCTTGCTGCAGCGCAGCATAGCCAACAAGTTAGAAGGACACGCGTTGCTGGCATCCAATTGCAAGGTGACATCTTCAGCATCAATTTCTGAGTGACGGTGCCAGCAGTTCTCCTTCTCCCACGGTCGTTGGGAATCAAAATCAAGTGGTATTATCATGGTCCATGTTGTTGCCTTCCATCCATCACGGAAGACCCTGAGTTTCCTTGATTTACTGCGCACCCACTCCGTGTAGGAGTAGGAAGCAGGTGCCGTATTCAGCTCTCTTGGTGACCAGGATTCCGTCTCAATGTACTTGATAGAGTCTCTGTTCCGGCTGATGGTTACATCGCGGAGGCGGAATCCAGGAGGAAACAGTAGATGCAGCCGCCATAGCCGAGGAGGAGGATGACGAAACGAGACGAGAGGATCGCAGGCCACGGCGGCTGTTAAACTTGGGCCGTTGTCGGGCCACATCAGCCAAGTGTTACTCACATGGGTTGGCCTTTCAGCCCGTATATATCCCGTAGCCTATAAGGCCCATGGCCTGGAAAGCTGCGGCGGAGCCGGCTGGGGTGTCTGGACGGCCGGTGGCCGACCATAGCAGCGCGTTCCAGGGCGGCGATGACGACGTGCCCCCTCCGCGGCCGCGGGTGTTGTATGCTGCTGTGTGTGGCGGGCCGGCGACAACTGGAACCTGTGTTCGGCTCAGCGATAGCAGCTTCAGGTTGCTCTTCTCTTCTCTCCTTGACCTACCCAGTACAGTACCCACCACTCAAATGTTAAGTGTGCTTTTGTTGCTTACTTGGTATGGCTGAATTGAATTGAACTGAATTTCATGGACATCTAGGAGTCTAGGACAGCTAATCATTCTTTAAGTTGTTCTTTTCCATGACAAATTTCTTCAAAATTTACATAATCATGTACCTCTGTTAGATGTAATAAACAAATAGTACACTGATCCCATTAGGTGATGCACAGACAGATCCTTGCTTTCTCCTTTTATCTGTCTCTACATGTAAATGTAATAGGTCCAGCCATTCTCTGCACAAGAGCATCCTAATCTAAATGGAGTATGCCATCTGTACATTATATATATAAGGGGTAAAACAAACCTGACATTTTACACATCATTGGTGCACGAGGTAGCCATATAAAAACTCATTCCAGACATCAGGAACTCCGGGGAGGCACCAGTGCGTGCAATCCGCATAGCTGGCTGGGTCTGCAATTTGCTCTTTCGTTAGAGGAACAAATTGTCGCCTGAACACCGTCGGATGCCCGTCCTTCCGGTAGTCGGACAGCTCGGTGATGTTCAGTATCTGAACATGTATGCCTTTCGGCTCCAACGTTCGAAAATAGGACTTAGCCTTGGCCATCAAGCTGTAGTCCGTAGTTGCAGCTTTGTATCCCGTTTTGTAGATTGGCTCTGTTTCGTTAAGACATTTGTTCTTGTCTTCTCCGCCCCAGTTGCTAGCCCTGAAAGTAACATATGTGAACACTGGATGTCATGGAGATATTGGTATTGTACTATTAGTGTTGGAAATGATTCATGGGTATCTCTCTCACCAGGAATGTGTTGGTGATGATCCTGCAAAAAAGATCCTAGTCTTGTTCTTGTCAATATTCTCTCCAAGCCATTCGGTTAGTTTCTTGAGAGCTATCTCGAAACCCTCGACCATTTCCATTTCGTCTAATTTTGCATCACCATCTTCAAATGAGCCATACCTGCACATACAAGTGTTAATTATTACCTATTCACTGATTGCATTTGGTAACTATGTTAGTGCATTTTAAATTACCAGTTCTGATATCCTTTTTCTGATATGCAAAACTGACGGTGCAATACCATGAGCTATGATTAGGAAGGATAGAAATGTACTTACATGACCTTCATCCTCATGTCATCCTTCTGTTTCCTCCACCACAGGTAAGAATTGAAGACAATGATGTCAGCATCCCTCCAGACACTGGTATGCTTCTCAATTCTGTCTGCCCTTATGATCCGGTACTCCACCCGGTGGATAATGGGGTTGTCGCTGTTAGACTCCACCAGTAGTGGTGACCAGTAGAAATCTATTGTTGCATTGTATTCCTGAAAATGATTATATGTTCAAACAGGCTAACCAAATAAAATTGTTGGTTTTTTGTATCTTGCAGATCGTGAAGGGAAGCATACCAATGCCTTGAAGGAGATGAGTGAGCCATTGAAGATGCGTATCTTGAGCTTGTCGTCAGGTATTGAGGCCTCCACCATGCACACAAGAGAGACCCATTGGTTCCTGTTGACTGAGTCACCCACAAACACCAATCTCTTGTTCCTCAGCTTTTCAAGCAGCTTGATGGCATCGAATCTGTTTTGAAAAGGTAAAATTCAGACAGCATGTCAAAAAATTCTATGCAAAGTTATGCTAAATATGATCTCCTTTCTACTCTTACAAACTTTTGAAATGGTACAAATGATAAAATAAAAGGTAGGACCTTTCACTGTCAATTAGTTGCCATGCATGTTTAATTAGTTTCTTGTTGGCCTCCAGCTAACGACTCTAATGAGATCAGTTTTGCAATCTCAGTACTAGTTGTTTCTTCCTTTCTGCTGTACTATCCTCTGTTTTTATTCAGTTACAGATTATCTTACCTTAGTGTTTTTATGCTTCTATAAAACAAAAACATTTACTACCCTTGGAAAATCCTTGACTGATACTGACAGACCTTTAGATATGCTCGAATTCTTGGGCTTCAGCTAAAAAATACTTGGGAAATCTGTAATAATCATACCTTGGGAGGTCGCATCCATGAGGCTGCCATCTCCAGTGCTGGTACATGACATCCTTCCTGCCATACTTGTCACAGGCCACCTCGGGGAAGATGAAGGCGCACTTGAGCCCGTTGTACAATGGCCGGGACACATTGTCGTACACCCACCGCCCCCTCGACCAGTTGCACTCCTCGTTGCTAGCATCCCCCTCTTCAGTTGTCCCTCTGACTGCCATTTGCACTTGCTCTTCCTGGCCTCTGTCAAGGAGGAAGACGATGGAGCTGGCCAAGATGAAGAAAGCCACCAAGGAGGTCACGATGCTCCTCACTCCAACTGGAGCATGGAGCACCGTCATCTTGTGAGAGGCTTCTGATTTCATTCTTCCTTCAGAAAAAATGTGGTTCTTAGCTTGGCCCCCCTCTTTTATGGTGCACCTGTCTTCTCTGCGATGGGGACATCGCATTTGTACATGGCTAAGTGGCCCAGGTCTACTGCTAATCAAACAAACTGAACACTGACCCCTGGGCTAACCACATATGGGAGGTAACGTCTGCCTGCTTTGGTTCATCTGAACTTTTTGGTAAATAAGTATGAGAAGGTCCAGTTAGCCAAAAAAAGAACTGAGATAAATTCAATTTTCTAGATATCAGTTTACAGGTTGTTATACAGTCAATCTAAATTTTCAAAGTTACCTACACATTGATCCCATGCTTATTCAGTATGATCCACATGTCCTAAGTTTGTTTGAATAAAAAGCAAAAGGAGAAAAAGGTAGTCCAAGTACCGGTTTCTGGTGCCGACAGTTCTGTCAATCCACCGTAGTATCACACCAAACATGGCAGAATGGATGCAAATAAATTAAGTAGTGAAATAGCTGGGTTTGTCACTTTGAAAAGACGGAATTTTGTAAATTAAGCAAGGAAAAAAAGCTGCTGGCCAGCGAAAAGGAATCTTTTTTCATGTTTTTGGACTATAATTAACTAAACTTGAAGTCATTAACTCGCTAATGTTAAACAGAGTTCAGAAATGTTCCAGGCTTTCCCAGTTCAAACTAGCAATCATGATATCTGTTGGCATTGGTCCTGATCTACTGTAACAATATTATGTATTTATGTCTTAGCAGTCCTAGCATAAGCATTACTCCTTGTAATAAACAAAAAAAAAGCCTATTCTATCTGGCTAGCAATTGCAAAATGATCAACATTTTTCCAATGGTCAACTTGGACCATCAAGGAATCAATGGGGTTTTAGCCACGTTATTTTACTTCAGTTTTCTTAGTCATCCATCACATGTATTGTTTTTTAGGACTGTGTCACGCGCTGTTTTGCTTTAATAAGTATACAGACAACATGCAGATGACTCAGCCTGTACGAATAAATCATTTTGAAGGAGCGTGCCTTTTTCTTACAAAAACATGAGGCTCTGAATCCGATTTTGATAGACCAGGTGATCATTGGTGCCACTAGGTAGCACCTTTCTTTCAATCTTTCTTAGGCCAGAAGCTATGTTCAGATTTAATAACAATAATGCAAAGCAACGCAATTGGTGGTGGCACCAGGATTATTTAATGTGATGCTGGTACCTAGAGGCAAATGCGACATTCTATCCTTAATTCTTACCACATTCTGGCCCTGTTCGCTTCTCTTATAATCCGTACTGGGTGCTAAAAATATAGTATCCTCTTACACGTTATCTTCTTTCAGCAAAGGACTGAATGAGTGCTGCCAGAGACCAAATAAAGGGTTAGGTGAAAAAATTGTGTGGTGATAGTTGCTTTGTTTGGTATCCTATCCTAGCCAGCGTGGGGTCTAATGAGAAGGCTTGGATGTTGAGCCTGCAGCTTGCAGTATATATATTTGCTGTTAACCTGATTCCATTTTGCCATATTCGCTAAGAAATTAAACTCCTTGTGGCAGGTGCAGTAGATCTGGAAAGCATGGACGATGAGCGATGGCATTCAGCAGAGCACCTGGTTGCAAGGTTGGAGAATGGGTACAATGATTGCTGTACATGAGGTGAGCGGGCCTTAGAAGGGTAGTAACATCATCTGAGTGTACTGTACACAGAGACAGAGAGTAGTAGCTAGCCTATCAGTTGGTGGCATGTGATTCCTGTTAGCTGATGGCCACATGCATGGTTGCCTTCCCTGAGGGCCGGCTGGATCAGTCGGGTTTGCTTAAATTCATGCACAAGTCCATCCTAGAAGAGGCTTCAGGCATATGCATGCAGAATTGCAGATGCAGTACGAGTAGGAGCGTTGCAATCACATGATGCTGTCGTTGGCCTTGCAGCTAGCAGGTACGCTCGTTCTTGTCCTGGATAGATAGGATAGGATGGGTAGAGAGGCATGTACGTACTGAAATAAAGATTCATTCGGTACATTTAATTAAGAGTGTGAGATTATGTATGTATATGCATCATTAGTGGCTGCCAAGGCACGTCTTAGTTGAACACTTTTGTGTCACTGCACTGAACTGCCGTGGATGAATTAATGCTGGTATGGTATGCGATGTGATGTGCAATGTTTGAGGTTTATACAGGAGTTGTCCATTGGCATGGAATGAAATTGACATTTTACCGCGAATGGTAGATTTGTCATGGGTTATATAGTAGCATGCATGCATGCATTGTCATGCCTGCACGACTGGACTTTTTTCACTGGTTCTGATTCTGTATATATATATATATCTAGTGTCCCCACATAATTGGTTGGCCGGTGATTTTCATTCATTTTCCTCTAAGTATATACGAGGAACTATGATTTGCTGAGAGCCTGATATGAGATAATGAGACGCTGGATTATTCATTCCCTCGACAGCTAGCTCGGCTGGAAGGGCATCCACAGCCACAGTGAACACTAAACACAGCACTGGTGGCGGTGCTGTACTGTACTGTGTGCTCTCAAGTCAGAAGATGGACAAGACCACTGGGGAGGGGACCCACTACCTACAAGATTATGCAAAGATTCAGAGACAAGCAAAAAAATATAAAAGTAGTAGTAGTGTCATCTCTGACTGTCATGCCTCCCCCAACAACCCCTCACCAAATCATATGCAGTGTTCTTAGTACGGCCGACCGAATCATTCATTCACATCTCTAGCTCACTCTCCCTCCGTTCTCTCTACTCCATCTCCATAGATGATGATAGGGCATGGCATTTCCAAGGTTGCCACTTCTGTAATCAAATCACGTTTTAGACAGACGTACTGCAAACTCCAATGTTATGCACCACTAATTTAATCGCGTGGTTTGGTTCCACAAATATAATGCTAATTGTACTGTGGCATTCAATCTTTCTTGCTAATCCCATCGACGGCATGTGTGGACAATGTAATGCTCCTTGATTAATTAGACCTTGGCACTAGCATTCATCAGTAACGATATCCCCGGATGTTATATAGTTGCATTTCTTCTCTGCAAAGGGATACAACTTCTTCCTCTACCTTAGCTTCTTATTACCCAAAAAGAAGAGAGGCAACTTGTTCGTCCAAAACAAGTGTCCAAATATAGTTTACAAATAGAAGTTGCTTTTGTTTTTTCTTTTGTGAAACGGTAATGCTCTCTACCAAGCGTCCGTCCGACCGGACACGTGTCTTCGCTGGGCCTGTGGACCAGGTCTGACAGCCCCAATACGTGGCTTCATGTCATCCACTTATTGTACCCACCACAAATATCTGATAATCCACGTTGCCTCCCAAAATAAAAATCTCCCACTCCGCAAGCTGTCGGCCACAAGCTGCACACACGTTCTGCTTCTCCTAGATCCAGTCCACTCCCACTCTCCCCAAGTCCTGCAGTCAAAGCACCGCCCGCTGATGGCGTCTCTGCCCACTCAATCGAGGTCCGGACCCCCGACGACTCGCCGTGGCCCACCATAGCTCTCTTCTCCTCCTCCGTGGCCGCACCCTAGCCCTCATTCGCCCCCGCCTCCTGTTGCTCCTCACCATGGCCCTCACCGCCACCACGTCATTCGTCCTGCTCCGCCCGCCCCTCACCGTCTTGACCGCCGCGTCTGCTGCCACCCGATCGCTCTCCAAGCTCCCCCAAGCCCATGGTGTTGCTCATATCCTCGGATGGCTTCCGCTACGGGTACCAGTACAAGGTCCCTCTCCAGCACATCCGCCACCTCATCATCGGCGCCGGCACCGGTGTCCTCATCACCTCCTCCTACGGCTAGAGATGGCAAGGGCGTTGTGGCCGTGCCGTACTTCGCGGTCGCCTCGAGGCTTGCCAGACATGGTGGTCGCCGTCCACTAGAGTGTCGCGTCTGACATGTTGCAAGCGTATGTTTCAAGTGTTTTAGGTGTTCCATATGCATGTTGTAAGTGTTTAATGTGGATGTTGCAAAAGTAGATCGGGATGCTGCATATATTGCAATGGCTATACACGTATGTTGCAAGTGTCTGTTCCAAATGTTTCAGCTGTTTTAGACGTATGTGCATGTGTTTTATCTGGGTGTTGCATATGTTTCACACTTATGTTACAAGTGTTTCATCCAGATGTTGCATATGTTTCACACATATGTTGCAAGTGTTTCATCTAGATGTTGCATATGTTTTGCAATGGCTACACACATGTTTCCCTCGTGTTTCATACGTATCTTGCAAGTGTTTCAACTGTTTCGGGCGTATGTTGTAAATGTTTCCTGTAGATGTTGCAAAAATATATCTGGTGTTGCACATGTTGCAGTGGACCCCATCTGTAATAGCCGGCATCTGCTGGGTATGGAGGGGGCGCGAGCGGCAGTTGTGGGAAACCGTGCCGGCGCAGATCGAGATGAAGTGGCGCATGTAGGACATGGAGTGGGCATGGGACACGGAGCGGCGTGGGCCCCCACATGAAGCAAGCGCAGACATGTGGCGCGGGCATCCGGACGCTAGCCGCCATCCGAACGTCCGAGCGCTAGACTTTCCGTTTGTGAAACTCACACGGACTCATATATGAGGAGAGCAGACCCGGCCCAGAGCTTGAAGAGACAACCAAACCATGCTTTGCTGGGATACATGCCTTTTGTTCTCGGAGCTGCGGCCCGTTTCTTTCTCATCTTTCCACAAAATGAAGCCCACGTGGACGCTTCCTTGACTGGGTTATCTCTATTAGAACTCAAAGTCAAAAGTACGTGTCTGTTCCATGTGGTGCAGATGCAGGGGCAGCACAGGCCAGAACAAGCTAGACAAAACGTGTTGCCGACGATACATCCTTCATGGTTAAGGTTCTATTCACCATCAAATTTGATATGCGGTAAATTGTCCAAAATGATATGCAGTGCTCTGCGATCATCCTTCGGACACGCAAGGCCAAAGTTAAACTCTAATCTAATAAGTATACATGCCAAATGACTTCCTGCTTATATCTACCGCTTAATTTGTTTGCCCTAGATTACCTCCTCACGGGTGCATGCACACCCAAGCCAACGAGTGCCAGATAATTAAATATGTTTTAAGTGTAGTAATCAAACTTAGCGACCATAAATCATTTAATTTTTAGCTAAGAGATCCACCAAATCACTATACTTACAACTCATTTTTATTTGTGGATAAACAAACAAATTGGGTCCACCAAGACACCAATGGTCAGACTCTGCGTGGTCGGATGGGCCTAGGGATGAGAATGGGTCAACGAGGCCCGTGGCTTGGGGTTATAGGTCAACCCATTTTACTTAATTAAATGTTGTAGCCTCCTTGATCCAATGAGTACTATGGATCAATTTTAGACTTTGAGGCTGATTCCTATGACCTACTGACCTTGCTTTTGTGGGTTAGGTCAACTCCGGCACATTCTAGGGATGAGAATGGATCGGGTTGACTCATTTGGTATTTTACCCGACCGACCAAAGTAAGGTCAATGGGTCATAGAGGCTGGCCTCAAAGTCTAAACAGGTCGATATAGGGCCCGAACCTGTTGACTCACTCACCACATAACAATCTTTTTTCTTTAATTTGTTTGTACTTTTTATTTTTTTTAAATAAGCACAGTTGATCATAACTTGTAAGCATGTTTATGTTTGGAAGTACATCAAGGAATATCATATTTTAGAAGTAAAAATAGATAAAATTTAAATAATGGTTCACTTGCAAACTTATTTAATTTCATACATTACCAATAACCCTAATATGTCATCATGGTATTTTTAATCTTGTACCTCACCTTTTATAGAAGTGTTGATAGTATTCATATCCCATGATGGTAGACAAATATTTGGATTGAACCATATTACACATTGGACCAATGAGGCCATAGAGTTTATCAAGATTCAAACAATTTCAAGGTAGGCACCATAAGATAGAACACAATTTTAGAAAATTTTCAAACTAGTTTCATAATTTCTCGAGCTAAAACAAAATTTCTATGAATTTCTAAGATTCAACTAAATTTTAGGATTTTTAATTACATTATTTTTCCAAGTTATGTTTGGGTAAATTTTTGAAAAAAAAATATGACTTTTTATATTTTTTACAAAAATATTTCTAGTTCGAGCTAACGTGATGCCACATCACTTAAGCCACCATCAAAACTGCTCAGAGTGCAAAAAAAAAACAGTTTTCAAAAAAGTTGAGGGGGGTAAAAAACTGGTTTTGTATATTAGGTTGGAAAATCGGACGACCGCAATAGCTGAAAGTTGTAAATCAGGCTTTTTCCCTAAATAAATGACCTAATAATACATATATTCTCAGCCCACTTCTTTCTAAGCAAGCCCATGTGTGATTTGCAAAAGAAGGCCCATACTAGTATATGTCAGTATTGCTACTGTAAACAATGAACAATGTAACAACACTTTAAAAAGTCTCGATGCCATGTGCACCATCAAAATACAGCAGCAAGGACAAGAGTTGAGTTTAGAGATTGACTGAAGGTTTGTTCCACCTATTTTTAACCCGTCGTCAATCAAGTTTTGCTTTTTGTCGGTTTCTTGATGACACGGGGCGCACAAGTAACATCTTAGCATTTATCAAGTACCAATGTACAGTTGCTAGATAGAATATTTAGTGAAGCCAGGTAAGCCCTTGTGCAGCCCAGCAGATGAAGGACACACGTCCTATGCAGAAAAGCTTAGGAATCTGTTAGGTCAGGTCTTCCAATTGGATGTAGCAGCAGTCAAAATATACAACTCCGATCCAGCGCGGTGGGGGAAAAAAAAGTTTTTGTGATGCTTAATGTCCAGTTGTCCACGAACAATCCTACTGTGCACACCATGTGAATCCAAACGCGTCCAAATAGCTGACTCACAACTCCCAAGTCTACCAAAAGCAGGTGAACCTCGTCTTGATTCTTAGTTTTTAATTTTTTTCTGAAAGATCTTATTCTTAGTTTTTAGGTAGGAACAATGCTGAGATTGTGATGCTCATGTGACCGCGAATTAACTCATCTCTTAATAATTTCCCATCCTTCCGGAAAATTACAGCGGCAGACAGCGACAGAGACAAGAAGTTTTTTTTTTCTTATCGACAAATGGAAGTACATAATTCATTCATTCATGCCCAAAGGGACTCTTTCTTGAGGCACGCCTCCTGCAGCATCATTGCAGTGTTCCCTGCAGAGCCAAAGCCACCCAGCATCTGCTGCTGCTGATGAACGGCAGTGCTGTTCAACGTGTTCATCACCAGGCCATTTTGCACGAGCAGGCTGCCATAAGCATCGCATTCCATCAGCTGCTGCTGGTGATGGAGTTGTTGCTTTGCCGGAGCTGGCACGGCAGCAGCTGAAGCTGACTGTGCATAGCCGTCATCGTGCTGCACCTGGACGCAGAGGATCTCGGCCTTGGCGAGGGCGAGCTGCACTTGGAGCTGGGAGACCTGCTGCTGGAGATAGGAGATGGCGCCCACGCAGCCGTACACGGGGTCCCTCACGCGCGCGTTCGCCTCGTACACTAGGCTGCTCACGGCGTCCGCTCTCTGCTGAGCAGGCAGCTCCTGGAATCAACAGTTGGTGCAGATTATGTTAGCCTGATGAGCAAGCTAGCTGAATCTGAATGATCACACTTCAAAAAAAAAATCTGAATGATCCATGGATGACAGTAACGAAGGAGATAAAACTGAATGTACGAGGTCAGCAAGGAGGAAAATTGAACGGACCTGCAGCATCTTGCTGACATTGCTGGCACCAAAGACCTTGTGGACGATGGCGAACTTGTGAGGATCCTCGGGAGGGAAGTAGGGTGCAAACACGCACTCCTGCGTGCAGCGCCGACGCAGCAGCTTGCACGATGCGCATGGCGGGCCGCTGCTGCTGCTGCTGCCACTCCCACTCCCACTTCCGCTGCCGGCCATGGTAACCTGCCGTGTTCTGGTTCCTCACAGTCACAGCTCACAGGGGTTTAGAGCGAGCAGTGAATGAAGAGAGAATGGTTGCAAAGGGAAGGGGGGAGACTGCCAGGTGCAGAACCTCCTCTTTTATAGAGCCAGGCAGGTTAGAGGAAGGAACAAAGTAGGTTAGAAGAACTGATGATAGCTAGGTCGGAAATGATAGGTCTGAAGATGGGAGAGATCAAATAGTTTGCACATTAACTAGCACAGTATCAGATCAGGACAAAGATGATAGAATATAGATTTCTGTTTAGTACTCTGTTGTATCATGCTGACCTATCAGCTAATTTTCTTCCTTCCAGCTGGATCACAAGCACAGCAAGCATGTTATGCCTGTGTAGTGCTGTACCAGTACAGTGTGTAACGTTCTATGGTTTTTCTTTGTTTGTATTTAGCAGCCACGATCAACAAGGTTTGTTGGTCGCAGCAGATACAGCTGAGAAAGTCTTTATCTCCTTATAATTAACTAGAAACAAGAAAGAAAGCGAAACGTAGTCTATGCGTTCATGGTTCATGGACTATCAGCCTGTTCACTTGCTCGTAAACGATCGTAAATTTCTAGCCGGGAACAGTGTTTTTCTCTCACACCAAACCAGCCAGCAGTAAATAATCCACGATACGATACGGCCTCCCGAACAGGCTGTATTCTATGCGTCTCCCAATCAGTACAGTTGTGGCATGGAAATTCTACCTCCGTTTTCACTTGCTGCAGCGGGCCTTGTGCAAGCGGTAGAGTCTTACCGCCTGTGACCGGAAGGTCCCGGGTTCGAGTCGCGGTCTCCTCGCATTGCACAGGCGAGGGTAAGGCTTGCCACTGACACCCTTCCCCAGACCCCGCACAGAGCGGGAGCTCTCTGCACTTGGTACGCCCTTCTTCTTTTTTTGCATGTATGCATCACTGGAGACCTCAAACTCTGCCAGACCAAGACTGCATTGTTTATCGTCAGTGATGACAAATTAAACCATGTTCCATGTTAATGGCTCACATGCATTAGGACTAGGTAAATATCTTGAGAAATGAGTTGACTATTATTGCAACGGTGGCCGGCTGCTGAGCAAACATATACCACTGCTAGCTCTAGAGAGCAGGATTATTTGACTATGCGTGATGGTGGAAATTAGCGCCACATGCACGTTCGGTATGTTGACCTTAATTAGATTAGGGAAGAAAGAGTACAGCTAGCTACAACACCCTTACGTACAGAAGAACCAAAGCCGTCTAGCACTAGTTGACCCTTAAGTACTAATTGACTCAACCTTAATGCTAGTAGTTTTATAGCAAACTGGCAAAGCATGTATATAGCGGTTACAGCTTATAAATCGAACGATGCATGCACTAGCTAAGGTAGTAGAATTATTCATCTACTCCTATGCCTGGGATGAAATTAAAACAGGGAAGGGAATTGGCGAGGTTCATGTGGGTCAGCTCTCTCCCCATGGATCACTGATTCCCATTTCGTATCATTTTCAATATTGGACACGGCCACATCATGATAGGTTCAATCCAATCCATATATAAATAAAGAATCACTAACATTGCATTATAAGCAAGAGAAAACGACAGAGTATCAGCGTAGCAAAAGATGATGGAGAAAGCTGACACGTATGTAACCAGTAGGTAAGGAGTGGCTAGTCAGCTAGTGGCTACCCATGCATGCGTGCAAGAGGCCATGACAACAGCAAAATTAGGGATTTGTCGTGCATTACAACAGTGATGAATGGATGTTGTACACCATATAGCAGCTACAAGCATCATTCGTGTCTTAACTAGGACTAATTGTAGCAGCAGACAAGTATGCTATACCTACATCAGCCACATGCATGGAGTCGTGGTGGGTCTCCACCAGTTGTGACATGTGTACAGGCTTAGAGGGTGACACATGTACCGTGGTCTGGAGCGCACCGGCAGTCGGATGCCTGACTCCACAACGACTCACTATATTTTACCCACATTTGTTTCCACTCTGCATGACAGAACAAATTCGTGTTGCAGCAACTACTATCACAAAATCATGCATGCACGCATATATCCGCTACCATGACGTCTCTACTCGTGCATTAATCTTAATTAATTTCCTGCTAGCATGAAAATGGAAAATCAAACGAAACAGAACAAGGTATCTGCGCCCGTGTTTGGTTGCGATTGCAAGCATGTCGATGATTGATCTTCGGATAAGACATCTTAATTGTCTCCCTGTCTCTCAGAGGATCGGCTTTCTGATTTTCTCACTTGGCGCATGGATCCATGAGATGGAAAGGCCTACACGAGTGACCTACAGACCAGGAGGAGGCAGGACGTCTAAGAAAGGTTGCTGCGATGCGTGTGTGCACATGCGATTGCTACCAAAAGCAAGCCTTCCCGAGGTTTGATTGGTCCCTAATATGGATGGATGGCATGCCAGTCAAGTACAACCGCGGCTGCCCAGGCCCCTACCACTACATTATTGAGCTCTGCCGACAGTGTTAGTTTCACAGCCTATGTAGTAAAAGTCTTCAGATTTTTCGAAGTCAAATTCAATCCGCCACTGAGTGCTCACCCATATGGCCACGTGAGTACCCACATCTAACCTCTTGTACTCCACATAACCCTTTTACTTAGCATCCCAAGTTTCCTTGCTCGAATAAGCAGCAGTCGTCCTTTTTCTTGAAACACGACAAGGTGTTCCCCATCTGAGCACTTCAGACTCGATGGGATTAACTCTACCAGGATGGACCTGGGCAAGTAACAAATTTAGGTTTTTGTTATTTCACATAGCATGTGCTCTGGGATCATAGTTAGAATATTCCACCGCCACATGTTAGGTAATTGATGTTCAAATCAAAGGTATAAAGCCCATGCTTATTACTTCCAGCTACAGACCTTCTAGATTTCCAGGTGTTTGCAAGAGCACATATCAAGAAGAAAATCACCAAATGCTTGCTTAACGGAAACGTGACAAATGCATTGTGTCATGACAATTTTTTCTCCTGTACATTTGTGCCTAATAGCACATTTCCACAAGAAAACATAAACCCTGCCCCCTTGTTTGCTTCTTTTTTAGAAATACGGTACAGTGGGTCATTCCCAAACAATAGTCTCAAAAGACAGTGCTTCACACGCATTATTCTCCGACACTCAATTCAACGGTCAGCAAAAGATTCCAGTTTCATATTATTATAAGGCAATGTGTAAATCATGACGGACAGGCAGAGTTACTATTTATTATTGTTCTGCACATGAAAACAGTCTGCAGATATTGAAGATAGCAACTTACTTGCAGAGTGAGTATGCTACCAATGGATGCAAGTACTCTTCGACGTCTTTGTCTTAATATGGAATCAAAGACTCATCCATAACTCCATGTCTCCACTGCATAAATTCTCAGCTAATTGGACTGCATTAAATAAAGAAAATCAATGTTTTCAAAATATAGTAAGCGCAACTGTGTATAGCTAGCAATACTTCCTGCAATCAGATTGAGCAAAGTGCGCCACCACGCTGCAATATGTGGTTAAGGATTGTAGTAATGTAATCAGCAAACCTTTTGTAGTAAATATTTATTTATATGAAATTGACTTTTAATTAAACTTTTTGAGCTGAAACAAGACATGATGATCTAGTCACAGTTTTCTTATTTATTTCAGGGGTCCAATGCTACAAAACTAAGCTGAAAAATACTGCTCTGTTTTGGAAACTCATGAACAGAGGTTGTGGACTAGTTAAGAAAATGTCGACGTCTGGCATGCACATGCTGCCAATGCCACTTCCACATATCCAATTTCAATAATCAGATGAATGTAATTAACACTGCACATATTCAGTTGAACTGGTGCTTTAGATGTTGAACTAGGCGTATAAGAGATTGAAGTGCATATGCACTGGTGGTAACTTAGAAACAAATAAGTAAATTAAGGCATACAACTCACCTTTCTACAACATTCCTCTCGGTCTTGTGGAAGATGCCACACTAAGATTGCTTCAAATCTCCCAGGTTCCTTCCCTGGCTACGAAGCAATTTCTTTATGTTCCTTGTTTTAATCCCTAGCCTAAACATTGAACTTGCTGATAACCTTGGTTTTTCTGATTGAAAATTATCCTTCTCATGAACACCTGAAGCTCTCCTTTTCATGTATTCAGCAGACTGTGTCTGAACTGTCACACACAGCAGAAGTAAATAGCATTAGAAAGCTATATCGAAAATATGTTCAAACAGTTGAAAGATACAAGAGAAGATTTGGTGTCAGTTGTCACAATAGGTCCCCAAATCTCCGAGATAATAGATGTCACGTTTGATAAAAAAAAAAAACAAGCCATTAGTTACTCAAACATAAAGGAAGGCATACATTCAGTCAGATTGGATCTCTGTAGATTAAACATGTATCACTCTTTCATTTACTCAACTTCAAAGATGAAGGCAAGTTTAGTTTGTCTGCACTTATTTTACTTGAAAAGTTAAAGCAAGATCAGTTTCTCTGCATGTAATTTAAGCAATCCATGGCATTGAAAACTCACCAGAATGCTGTGCAGATAATGACTTGGCCAAGTTCTGGAGTCCTGTTATATCATTGATCTTGTCCTTCTCCTCAATGGAATTAGCAGAGTCCAAGTGCCCTGGGTGGCTTGGATGAATGTGCCCAAGAGCATTTGCAAAAGCCTGAATTAGTTACAATGTAAGCCAATGCCATTCTGCAGTTCTCTATTTATTTGTGCTCAGATGTACAACCATAAACATTAGTGTATTAGTAGCAATATACAGTACAAGTCATCAAGCGACCTTCATCGCTTACGTCAGACAGAGCAAAATATGATACTTATTATCCATTTAAATGACAAGAATCCTTCACGCATTAGAGAAAATATGAAGTGGAAGTAGTATTTCCTGATAGAGCTATTTCAACAATTATTTCTAAAATGATTGACTTATTTTTCCCCTCTTAGTACTTTAATTATATCAAATCAGCACTCTGATTATCAGATGGCATAA